GCTAGTGTGTCCGAGGAGCTGAACTTGAAGTTTTGCTTAAAAACTGATGCAGGGTAATTTTCTTCGTTAAATGCAACTTTATTGTTTTGATAGAACTACATTTTACTTTTACATAGAAATTCAGTACTTGAACTGAGATGAGCTGGGATTATAAACTAGACACTGGATTTCAAAGACATGATACAAAAATATTGTAGAATATCCTACCGATAATTTTTCATATTATTTACATGTTGAAATAATATTTTAGATATATTGGATGAGATAAAACATGTTTAAAATTAATTTTCTGGGCACCTGGGTGGCTCAGTGGGTTAAAGCCTCTGCCTTCAGCTCGGGTCATGATCCCAGGGTCCTGGGATCGAGCCCCACATCGGGCTCTCTGCTCTGCAGGGATCCTGCTTCCTCCGATCTCTCTCCCTCCCTGCCTGCCTCTCTGCTTACTTGTGACCTCTGTGAAATAAATAAATAAAAATTAAAAAAATTAATTTTCTGTTTCTTTTGCATTAATTTTTCTGTTTCTTTTTTAATGGAGTACTAGGAAATCCTAAATTACATTTGTGGCTCGCATTATATTACTCTTGGGCAGTGCTGAGCTAGCGGAGGGGAGGGGAGGGTGACAAAAAGGAACAGCTTTGCCAACGAGCCATCGTGGCAGGGTATAAAAGAAGGATAGGGTTAAGGAGGAAACCGGAAGAGTGAGTTCAGTTTAAGATGACCCGCCTATGGGGTTGGAGGCACACGGCTGAAAGTGTGACCAGTTTGCCATTAATCCTCCAGTTTAACCCAGCCAATCAAAGCCCACCACTAACCCTTTTTCTTCACACCTGGGGATTGTGAGTTTGGGATCACCTATGGGGATCACTTCTCTGCAGCCTCTGCCGCCAGTCTTCAGGATCCCCGGCATCTGCCTGCAACTCTCCCACTTCTTTCTCCTCCTCCACTCTCTCCCACCAGCCCCTTTGCCTTCTAGCCGGACACTGACCTTACTGCTTCTTCCACAGCGGTTCTCTGGACAGCCCAAGGCTCGATGCATCCAGACCCTCCTGCAGGTGATCCACTCCCCCCAACCACTGTGGGATGACATTCGGGCTGCTCCCATCTCCTTCCACATGCAGCTCGCACACGAGAAGGAAAAAAGCATCTTGCCAACAGGTAGTCATTCAGCAAACATTTACTGAGTCCTCAGGACTAAGTGTATCAGGAATCTCGCTTGGTACTGAGTTTACAAAGTTAGAGACGTTCTGCCAACGAGCTCCCTGTTTCTCCGNGTTTACAAAGTTAGAGACGTTCTGCCAACGAGCTCCCTGTTTCTCCGGGCATTGTGATCGTGACAAGAAGGCACAGAGGTGTGGAAAAGCTGCTGCAGGGGGGGCAGAAAAGGGGTCTGTTTAGGAGGGGAGCCAGGAAAGAGGGGGAAGGGCCTTTGAACTGGGTTTTAAAGGATGATTATGAGTTTTCTGGGTCGGGGGAAGGCGTCTTTCTGTTCTTAACCCACCACACTACAATCTCTGGTCTTGATAACTCCCTTCTGTGCTTGCATCCAACCTAGTGGCTTCTGACTCCCACACCGAATGCTCTGGCTCTTCCGGGGCTCTTCGCAGATGGCCTCACTCTCTCTGGCTTCAGTTCTCCCTGCCTCTTCCCCGCAGGTGATCCCGGTAGCCCTGCTGAGCCTCCCACGTCGGCGCTCCATCCCCGAGGCGCAGGCGCAGCCGGCTGCCGCCCGGTCGGTCTGTGAGTCTGTCCCGAGCGCCCTCTCTGGGCCAGGTCAGAAGCGCGGCGCCGACCCCCTGGAAGCCCCAGAGCTTACCCCGCTGTGAACTGGTATTTCTGGGCGCGTGAAGCCCGTGGAGGCTTGGTGGGCTCGAAGCACGGGAGCAGGAGGAGAGGCCCAGTTCCCGGGGTCACCCGCAGCCCATGGTGGGAGAAAGGAGGCTCTGTACTTTGGGAGGGAGGGTCCTTGCTCTTGACCGACTGGCATATTCTGATTTCAGAAATAAAACGAAATGCCTTGTTTTGGAAAGTGAACCTTTCGATCTCAGTAGATCAGAGTCAATAAATTAAAGGTGGGACAAGACGGGTGGCATGGGTTGGTTCCAACAACCGGTTTGTTTCTTTACATCCGCCCTGCCCCTCAAACCCATTTCGTTGTCCACCGATCCAGACCTTATCCCAGCACCTCTGTAACCCTCATCTCCAACATGTGGATTTGTGTGTGCGCGCACCTGCACATACCTTCGGCTTCTGCACCGGCTCACACACGCAGGGAGAAGTGGGAACCTAGGTGATTCCAGAGGAAGGGGAAAAGTTGTATCCCCAAATAGGACTCCCAGAGAAAGGATCCCCATTAGGCAGGACAGCAGGCTCCTCATCACTAGAAAGCTACATCCACAGAGTAGACCCTGAAGTGAGAGCTGCTTCCCCTGCCCTAGTTTGTAAGGGGGACATAAGGAACTCTGGGGGTGTTGAACAGCCTCTGGTGGTGGGGTGCGACGAAAACTAGAAACCCAGGTCCGTCCATTTTAGACCTCAGCTTCGGCTGTTTGGACATGGGGAAGGCAAACCTTGGCCATCGCAGACCCATTCCAGCCCTTCAGTGCCTAGGGCGTAGGACTCTGATAAAAGAGCGCTGGCTCCCCCTTGTGCCCGAGAAGTACACAGGGAAAAGCTCTGGAGCTCCCTGGAAACTTCAGGCTGTAGGGTGACCGCTAAGGAGCCAAACAGATTTTGGTTTTATGAGAATAGAGTCACCAGCCTTGTAAAGGCAGCCGTAAGCGCCCCTAAAATGTCTGGGGGCCTCCAGCCTCGATCGGGGAGCGCTCTTTCCCTGTCATACTTTGGCATTTACTTTGGACCTGAG